TGCAGCATCTCGCCCCGGTGGGGGGCCCCCCCGGGGGCCCCCAGGGGGCTGCGGGGCCCCTTGCTGCTGCTGCTGCTGCGTAGCAGCAGCAGCAGCAGCAAAAAGAATGAAAATAAAATATTAAAAAATTGTTTTTTTATTTTAGTTCTTTGGCTATAAACCCTAAACCCTAAACCCTAAACTCTAAACCCTAAACCCTAAACCCTAAACCCTTGCGTAGGTGGTACGAGGGTTTAGGGTTTAGGGTTTAGGGTTTAGATCGTTGGGTTGATGGTTGCAGCGTTAAGGTAAAGGGGTATTTGCTGCTGCTGCTGCTGCTGCTAAGGAGGCAGCAGCAGCAGCCACTGCAGCAGCAACTGCAGCAGCAACTGCAGCAGCAACAGCAGCAGCAACAAAACAGCACCAGCAGCAGCAACAGCAGCAGCAACAGCAGCAGCACCAGCAGCAGCAACAGCAGCAGCAACAGCAGCAGCAACAGCAGCAAAACCTCATCGATCTCAGCAGCAGAAATACGTTAGTGACCACAGCAGCAGCAGCAGCAACAGCAGCAGGAACAGCAGCAAACGCAGCAGCACCAACAACAGCAGCTGCAACCGTAGCAGCAGCCACAGCATCAGCACCAACTGCAGCAACAGCAACAGCAGCAACAGCAGCAACAGCAGCAACAGCAGCAATAGCAACAATATTCGGAGCAGCAACAGCAGCTCATATTGTCACCAGCAGCAACAGCAACAGCAGCAACAGCAACAGCAACAGCAGCAACAGCAGCAGCAGCAGCAGCAACAGCAACAGCAACAGCAGCAGCAGCAACAGCAGCAGCAGCAGCAGCAGCAGCAGGAAAAAAATGTTGCAGCAGAGCATGCGTCGTTCTGCTGCTGCATACGACGACATGTATGGAGCACAGCAGCAGCAGCAGCAGCAGCAGCAGCAGCAGCAGCAGCAAGCAATAGGAATAGATAAACCCTATATAGATGCTGCTGCGCTGCAGCAGCCGCTGCTGTCTTCTTGGGTTTATGGGGGGCCCCCCAAATACCCCCTGAGGCAACACCCTCTATTCGCTAGACACGTAAACCCTAAACCCTAAACCCTAAACCCTAAACCCTAAACCCTAAACCCTAAACCCTAGACATTCGGAAAACCCTAACCACTAAACCCTAAACCCTAAAACCCCTAAAACCCCTAAAAACCCTAAAAACCCTAAACCCTAAAACCCTTAAAAACCCTAAACCCTAAACCCTATACATTCGGAAAACCCTAACATCTCTAAACCCTAAACCCTAAAACCCCTAAAACCCTTAAAAACCGTAAACCCTACCCAAGGAGCCCGACCCCAACTGTATAAACATATATAAACCCTAATATATTTATAAATTTATATATTTATTTATTTATTTATTTATTTTTTTTTTTTTCTTTAGGGGGCCCCGCTTACGTACGACCCCCCCTGGGTTTGTTCAGGTGTATGTACACAGCTACGCAGCAGCAGCAACAACCGCAGCAGCAGCAGGAACAGCAGCATGTGTATTTGTTTTATTGATGGTGGTTTACGTATACTAGAAGCAACAGCAGCAGGAGAGATAGCTGTCTTTGCTGCTGCTGATTTATCTTTTTTAGATATTAAGAGGCTGCTGCATACTGCAGCAGCAGTTACAGCCATAGAAATAGATAAAACACAATATAAACTTTTTGTAGGAGATACACAAGGACAAGTTGCTGCGCTATCCCTCGCGCTTAGTCCACAAGATACTGAACCTCTAGAGGTATTTTATTTTATTTGTTTTGTTTTTGTTTTTGTTTTGTTTTTGGTTTTTTTGTTTTGGGTTGTTTAGGTGTTTTTGTTTCGTTTTTTTCTGCTTTGTATTTGTTTTTTTCTGTTTTTTTTGTTTTTTTTGTTTTTTTATCTCGCTCTTAGTCCCCAAGATACAGAACCTCTAGAGGTATTTTATTTTATTTTATTTTATTTTTTGTTTTTGTTTTCTCTTTGTTTTTTTTTGTTTGGTTTTTTTCTGTCTTTGTTTCGTTTTTTTCTGCTTTGTATTTGTTTTTTTCTGCTTTTTTTCTGTTTTTTTTTCTTTTTTTTTGTTTTTTTATCTAGCGCTTAGTCCACAAGATACAGAACCTCTAGAGGTATTTTATTTTATTTATTTTGTTTTTTTTTTGTTTTGTTTTTTTGGTTGGTTTTGTTTTGTTTTTGTTGTTTTTTGTTTCGTTTTTTTCTGCTTTTTTTTGGTGTTTTTCTGTTTTTTTTTGTTTTTTTTTGTTTTTTTATCTCGCGCTTAGTCCACAAGATACAGAACCCCTAGAGGTATTTTATTTTATTTTTTGTTTTGTTTTTGTTTTTGTTTTTTTTT